TTCTATTCCTTCAAAAATCCCCGTTACTTCTGGAATTCGAAATTTTTGAACTTCGTTTTTCAATTTTTTTTTTTAAATCGTTTTTTTTTATTTTTCGGAAATGATTTTTTCGGGAACCCTCTGCGCACACTCTCATGTGACATATTCCGAACTTTTTCCCTTCGGAATTTGCCGAACCTGCGGGAATATATTTTCTCTCGCAGTTCAGCTTTTCCCCCACTGTCTCCATTTTGATTCATTGCAGCCTGCAATTCGACATTTTTTTACTGTTCGTAACTGCTGCGGGGATATCTAAGGAGCCTACMAAGCTTGCAAATTCGACTTTTTTTCTTTTTTTCGAAAATGCAGCAAGGTCGTAATTTYTTCTTTGATTAGCGGCTCCTTATCTGGGCAACCCCTTCGCTGGCCCACTCCCCCTCTCTCCATCCCACCTCTCCTTTCCTTCTCCGTCCTTTCCCGCCTGCCCAGCCACCTGCAGTTGCAGGCCAGGTAAGCCATTTCAGCAGGCCACGTCAGGGTCCCGCGGCGCAAGACCGTTCTGACTCGCACGCAAACAGCGGCGATGGATCAGAAGCCAGGTGAGACTGATGCGGACTACGAAGCACGGCTGGCGGCCATCGTAGCCGAAGGCAAGAAGCGGGCAGACGCAGCAGCAGCAGCACGGAAGAAGAAAGAAGCAGAGGCAGACAGGCTACGTCTTCTGGCTGAAGAGCAGCAACAAAAGCACGCAGCAGCAGCAGCCAAGGCCCCCGATGAAGAACGTGCACGGCGACGCGAGCTCATATTCAGGGAGGAAAGTGCACTTCACGCACAGGCTAAGGATTGGCAAAAAGAGGCCGAGAACGGCGACCCCGTTGACGTCGGGAGCAGAGTGTCTCAACTACTCAACCGCGTCACGGACCTCCTTGCTACTTGTATTGCGCAGCAGGAGGATATCCATTCGCTCGACCACACCAACCAGGTGCAACAACAGTCCATGGACAAGATGCTCCAGCGCATCCAGCAGCTGGAGCAGCAGCTTGCTACCGCCAACTCCGGCGCCGGTCCTTCTGACCTCGTCGACCGCGTCAACGTTTTGGAGATTGACATGGGAGTACTCAAGACCGGGGCGCAACATGTCTGCACCGCCGCCGGCTCCAGCTCGACGCCATGGGAATCCATTGTCAAATTTGACGGGCTTCCGATCTTCTGTGACTCGTCGAAGACGGACCCCATACCGTGGTGGCGTCAGTTCGAACTCAAGCTGGACCTTCACCACGTGATCGACACAAACAGGCATGCATATTTGTACTCCCGTTCGGGAGGAGCGTGCCAAGCATGGCTGGATAACATGCTGTCCGCACATGCCTGTACAGTCACCGAACTGCACAAGTACATCAGCTGGGCAGATCTCACGGCGGCGTGGAAGAAGCGTTTCCAAGTCGAACCGCCGGAGCACCTTGCGATGGACAAGTTGCTGACGTTTTCGCAGAACAATCTGCCAAGCGGTGATTGGATTTCTGAGTTCCAACGCCTGGCTAGCACGCCCAAGTTGCCGATGAACTTCGACGGCATCAAGCTGTACTTCATCAAGCGGTCGTGCCCGACATTGCAGAACGCGTTGACTCACGTCGCGGACACCCTCACCACAAGTGAGGAGCTCTTCAACAAGGCTGCGCAGATCATTGTCACGAATCTGGCCGCCCGGAACACGGGCCCTTCGTCATCTGCCGGCCAGGGCACGCATCAGCATTGGCCCAAGGTGGCCGTGGTCGCAGCAGCAACGCCTAGCGACCCTTCAACTTCTTCGAACGAGGCTGCTTCATCTGATCAGGGAGACAGACTAGCAGCTGCCCAGAATGGTGGCCGCCCCGCCAAAGGACGAGGACGCGGCAAGCCGAAGACAACCACCAATACTTCTTCTGGGCCCGGACAGGCAGCTCAAGAACAAGGCCCTTGGACAACATACGGCTTGTCGCCACGCGCATATAAAATTTGCACCAAGTACCGTTATTGCTTGTGGTGCAATAGCTCCGCTCATGAGTCAGCGAGTTGTCCCACAAAGGCCAAGGGTCCCGCCCAGTCAGGAAAGTGAGCACCTCCGAGAGTGTTGCGACGGCACTCTCGACGCCTTCGGAACCGGTTACCGCGCGAGTAACCTCCCTCGGTTCCGGGGCACATGCGGACGTCGTAAGTCCTCCCATTCTTCATTCGTTCGAGGACTATGCTGCCCGGCTCGTACCTTCGCTGATTCCATGAGCCCAAGGACAAGATGTATGTGCGGTCTCTTCTCCGATCGGTAGCAGCTGCATTGATTCGTCTTCAAGTGGACCTTCACGGGATTCGGCACACGCGTTCAACATTGAGGACTTGGACCCGTTGACGCCCGAGGATTTTGCATGGCTTCCTCTCCCTTCCACCGGCTGCTTACCGGAGCCGCAATGCGCCGCTCTTCGCGCTCATCTACATACATATTTGGCCTTCTATGCACCACCAACTTCGCCTACGGAGGACGAGGTCGCGGTGGGGGACATTCTTTCTTATGTGAGCAAGGTGACCCGCGAGTTTCGCACGCAGCGGTATGACGACAACAACGCACCGCTCCTTTACGTCCGCATCCAAATCGGGCAAGCGTCCTGCAGCGCTTTGCTGGATAGCGGCGCGACTCGCAACTTCATTAGCCAGTCCTTCATGCAAAGGGTCGGCCTTGGACCACAAGTTCGAAGGAAGGCACACCCTACGTCGATCAAGTTGGCGGACGGAAGGACGCAACAACTCCTTGATCGCTACATCGAAGCCGTCCCGGTCTATTTCGCACCTCATGCATGCGAACCGGTGACGTTCGACGTCTTGGATACGGACTTCGACATCATTTTGGGCATGCCTTGGCTCGCTAGTGCGGATCACACGGTCAACTTCCATCGGCGGACTCTTACGGTTCGCGACGCGTTCGGCACCGAGGTACCGTGTACCATTCTTCCTCCGCACCCTTCGATCCGGTGCCAAGTTGTAACCGCCAAATCTTTTCGGGCCATTTGCGCTTACGAGCGGACTGACGAGATTGGCTTATGTTTTCTTCGAGCCGTCGCGGCAGCCGATCAAGCCACGGACTTGTCTTCCGACTCCCGGGTGGTGCGGTTGCTCGACGAATTCGCCGACGTCTTCGAGTCACCTACCGGCGTGATGCCGGATCGGCCGATCTCACACGAGATCATTCTTGAGGCCGGTGCCGTGCCGCCAAAAGGTAGCATCTATCGCATGAGCGAGGAGGAACTTACAGTACTCCGCGCGCAGCTCGACGACTTATTGGACAAAGGTTGGATCCGGCCTAGTAGTTCACCCTACGGTGCGCCTGTTCTCTTCGTTCGGAAGAAGAACAAGGACCTTCGCTTATGCATCGATTACCGCAAGCTCAATGCGCAAACCGTCAAGAACGCGGGACCTCTTCCTCGTATCGACGACCTCTTGGAGCGCTTGGGCGGCGCGAAGTTCTTCTCCAAACTGGACTTGAAGTCGGGATACCATCAAATCTCGATTCGGCCGCAAGATCGCTACAAGACCGTGTTCAAGACACGGTATGGGCACTTTGAGTGGGTCGTGATGCCTTTCGGACTCACCAACGCCCCGGCGACTTTTCAAGCGGCGATGACCAACGAGTTCCGCGCAATGTTGGACCGGTTCGTGCTGGTCTACTTGGACGACATTCTCGTCTATAGCCGGACCTTGGAGGAACATCTGGATCATCTTCGACGAGTGTTGGAGAGAATCCGGCGTGCCAAGTTCAAAGCCAACCGCGACAAGTGCGAGTTCGTGCATCAAGAGTTGGAATACTTGGGCCATTTTGTCACTCCACAAGGCATCAGTCCGTTGTCGGACAAGATTCAAGCCGTCCAAGATTGGGCCGAGCCTCGGAATGTTACGGATGTCCGATCTTTCCTTGGCCTTGCCGGCTACTACCAACGATTCATCAAAGGGTACTCGAAGATCGCGGCTCACTTGACCAAGCTTCAATGCGAGGACCGACCGTTTGACTTCGGGACGGACGCGCGGGAATCATTCTTGGCCCTCAAGGCTGCCTTGCTTTCCACGGAGGTATTGCGGATTTACGACCCGCTCTTGCCAACACGCGTCACCACGGATGCGTCTGGCTATGGCATTGGTGCCGTCCTCGAGCAACATGACGGCGTGGATTGGCACCCGGTCGAATACTTCAGCAAGAAGGTGCCGCCCGTGCACTCCATCGATGATGCACGCAAGAAGGAACTTCTTGCCTTCGTTCACGTAGTCAAGCGATGGCGGCACTTCCTCCTCGATCGACGCCAGTTCCGATGGGTAACGGACAACAATCCGTTGGTCTTCTACAAGTCTCAAGACACCGTCAACAGCACCATCGCCCGTTGGATGGCCTTCATCGACCAATTCGACTTCTTTCCCGATCACATTCCGGGGAAGTCGAACCGTTTCGCGGATGCCCTTTCCCGGCGTCCGGACCACTGCACCGCGGTTACTCAACCTTCGAGATCGAGGACGACTTGCGGGACGGCTTCATCCGCGGCTATCAAGCCGACCCCGAGTTTCGCGACAAGTACGCAAACTGTTCCTCTCCCAATCCGGCGCCGTCGCACTATCGGATCCAAGAGGGATACTTGCTTCTTCACTCGCGGGGGAAGGATCTACTTTGTGTGCCGCAAGATTCACACTTGCGCACGTGGCTTCTTGGCGAGTTCCACGACGCCCCCGCCACCAGACACTTTGGCGTCAATCGCACGATTGGCCGACTCCGCGAGCGCTTTTGGTGGCCCGGTCTCCTCGACGACGTCACGCGCAGCTACGAGTCATGCGAAGTTTGCCGACGTTGCAAACCTCGCAATCATCGTTCGTACGGCGAGTTGCGACCATTACCGGTCCCCTTGCGCCGAAGGGAAGCGATTGCCATGGACATTACCGGGCCGTTCCCCAAGCACAAGACGGGCATGGACGGGATTCTCACGGTGGTTGACCGACTCACCAAGTTCGCCATGTTTTTGCCTTGCCGCTACCATGCCAAGGCACCGGAATTGGCCGAGGTTCTCTACGCCGGTTGGATTCGAACCAAGGGTTACCCCAAGGAAATCGTTTGC